CAACCTGTCCACAGGAGGACTGTTAGTCCTGCACTCCTCACATCTGTGGTTTCTGGCAGTGACCACAAGAAAACTAAGAAGTTCTGTTTGCAGTTTGTTACAACCCAGAAGCAGCTCTGCTCAGATCAGAGCAAACTCAACGTTTTTCACACCATGTGGCAAAAACCTGACACTATCAAAGACCCTGAACGCACTGTCCTCTGTGAAGCATGGAGGTGGCAGCATCATGCTGTGGGAAGGTGTTTCTTCATCATGGACAGAGACTGTTCAGAGTTGATGTGATGGATGGAGCTAAATCCAGGATCATCCTGGAAGAAAACCTTAGAAGCTGCAGAGGAGTTGAGACTGGAGCAGAGGTTCACCTTCCAGCAGGAGAACCACCTGAAACATCCAGCAGAAGTCCAGCAGAACCGTTCAGATCAGACGTGTTCATGAATGGACCAGTCAAAGTTCAGATCTAAACCCAGAAAAGGATCTGTGGCAGGACCTGAACGTTACAGTTCCTAGACGCTCCTGGTCCAATCTGAGCTGCAGTTATTTTTCAGAAGAGCTGCTGGAGGCAAACACCAACACAGGTGGTTCTGCAAAGTACTGACCTGGGGTTAAATACAAATGTGAACCAAAACTTTTAGAATTTTTTTATTTAAAATGATTAAACTATGTATCATTTTCCTCTTCACAATTTTGTAATTTGTTTTGGACTTTTACTTTAACCCCCCCACCTACGTAAAAATACTTTGAAGTTTGTTGTAGTGTGATGTTCACAGGGTGTGAATACTTGTGTCAAACTCATCACTTTGTTGTATGAACTGTAACAAATGTCCTGTGTTCACAGACGATGGAGGAGTACATGAGCAAACCTGCGTACTGAAAAACTTGGACTACGATCATCAGTTTCAGCTGGGGGGGGGGGGGGGGGCATTTTTGTTTTGAGTAAAAAGAGAAACACTTAGACGGAAGGAAAAATAAAGTCAATGCTTTATTAACCTCAACTGTGTCACATATGATCACATTTAAGAAATATTTACAAAAAACACACCTGAAGATTTAACACTGGTTTGAACTGTGTGTGTGTGTTTGTGTGTGTGTGTGTGTGTGTGTGTGTTTGTGTGACGTGCTCAACTTTTTCAGAAAAACAAAAACGTGAACACTCATTTTTTCCTAATAAATCATATTTTTGTAAAACTACAGAATGACTGTGTTCTTTCTTCAAAATACTTTGTTGACCCTCCCCCTCCACTAAAACAGTATATATTTATATATTTGTACATAGTTATATTCATTTGTCGGCTCTGGCTTCACTCTTCTGTTTCTGGGTCCAGGTAGCTCAGCACCTTCATCGCAGCCTGCTTCTCCGAGCCTTGCGTTCGCGTCTCCTCGCCCGTGTCGTCATCTTTGGACTGTCTCTCCGGCATCTTCTCTGCGTCCATCACATCAAAGAACTCCTCCAGCGCCTTCTCAAAGGAGCCCGTCGCGCTCTGCTCGACACCGCCCCTCTTCTGGGTCGCCTTCTTGTCATTGCTGAGCGCAGGTTTGGGATACCGCGCCAACATCTGGGCTGCTAAGTAAGCTGCGAGCTGGTCCTCGTCCACGGTGTCGTCATAGTCGTCTCTGAAGGCGTTGGGGAGGCGCCTCTGTGTGGGCGTGGCTTGTCCCATGTGCCCGGCAGGAGAAGTGTGAAGTGGTGACAGGGAGCTCTTTTGCTGCCTCTGACCCCTGCTGGGACCTGGAGCCTCGGCTCCTTCCAGACCCAGGACTTTAAGGATCTCTTGTCTTCTCAGCTGCTCTGGGCTCTTCTGTTCGTAAGGTCTGCTGTAGAACTTGGGTTCAGGGGTCTTCAGTGTCTTCCTGGAGGACAGCTGAGACAACCTGCCCTCAGCTCTGGACAGTCCATTGTTCTTTGGCAGAAGGTCTTGACTCGCCCTGGCTCCAGGTTTGAGCAGCTCCATCAGGTCTGCAGGGGGGATGTGGTATTTGTGGGAGAGGACGATGAGCTGGAAGATGAGCCGGGGGTCCATGTCTCCAGTCTGAGACACCCTCCTCTCAGCCCTCTCCTCTTCCTCTTCAATCTCTCGCTTCTGCTCCTCCTCAGTTTTCTCCAGGACCTTCAGGAGATAATAGTCCACCAGATTGGCCATGTCATCTGGATTGCTTGACCTTTTAACTGGATAGCTTTCATCATCTTCATCAGGTTCTTCATCATCGTCGTTGATATAATCAAGACCTCGATCAAACTCCTGTTTGCCGTCTCCTTCCTCCTCCTGCTCCTCCTCCTGCTCTTCTAGAGGACTCCAGTCTTCAAGGTCCCCATCAAGGTCATCATATTCTGCATTCCTCAAACTGAACACATCTTCACCCTCCTCCACATCGTTGTCCCCCACATCATCTTCCTCATCTTGGCGCTTATGGAGGATCTTGGTGCCGGTCAGCTTGTCCAGCTCGTCGAACATGGACTGCAGCGTGGCCAGGTTCTGAGGCGTGTACTTCTCCTCCACGTTCTCATTGGTGCGCTTCAGGAGGCTTTCACTCCTGGGCCCCTCTCTGTCCTCCTCCTCATCTTCGAACATCAGAGGTAGCTTCTTGTGAGGCACAATGATGCGCTGCTTCTGTTGCACCCTGGGAAACAGACCAGGACTTGTTTCCTTTGTGACGGGACGGAGGGGCCTGGAGGCCTGCTCTGTTTGCTGGAGGGTGCTGAGCACAGCCTGGAGCAGCTCTTCACTCTTGTCCTCCCCTCGCTCTTCCTCCTGCTCCTCCTCATCATCTTTGCTCCGCAGCGGGCTGGAAGCCAGTCTCAGCATGGCACTCAGCTTTTCAGCGTCATCCATGTGATCGACATCACGCTC